GGTTTTGGAACCAAAGGCTTTGGTTGAGAGGCTTAATGGTTCTGCTGTATAGGCCTGGGCAACCTGTGAGTATCCTGCCCACGTAATGCAACGAATTGCTCTTTAAACAATTTCTTGATTATCTGGCGTTCGCAGCGGATAATCAACGGTGCCCTATCTGTTGCAACAACCAGGGTGGATAGGAGTTTGGAAGCCACTGCTCAGATCTCCTAGAATTCTTGTTCTCCTCTCGCGCCATTTCGTTCTTATGGTCACGTTTCAACCTAACGGTATTCACCTGTTTGCAACCCTCTAGTTCTTGGCCCTCCCCCACCTGCTTCCACTGTTACTTTCGTCAAGTTTCGATTCACACGCAATCGTAGGGCGTCGCTCCACTCCAGTCAACAAGTCCTTGTTCAGAAAAGTGGGCAACCTCAGTTGATCCGTTTATATCTGGAGCCCTCGATCCTCCCTACGATTGACCTGCCTCAACGTGCGCGTGTTATTACATATTAGCCAACAGGTAGCACTTGCCCGAACACTAGATACCCTACCGATCAACATCTGCTGTTTATCGGAAGTCCCTAGCAACATTCGAGCTATGTACTTTCCCTGCGATCTCTCACATTCAACACTGGCGGTATTTTCTCATTGCGTTTGTCCGGAGATTACGGAAATTCAAATGCCACTCAAACCGGTGTGGGCATTCCTCTGAGCTCCTGGGCTGAAGCATCCCCAATCTACTGCATTCCAATCAACAACCGGATGTGCACTGTCAGATTGACTGGCTCGACTAAAGCTCTGGAATCCAGCGGGGAAAACGGTGCCTGTTTGTCATTACTGTCTACGCCCCCACAAACTGCAGCACTTGCTCGGTGAAAGCTGACTTGGATCACCAACTCAACGCGCCGTTATGCTGTTACGGAAAAGGTAGAATAAAATAAAACGGTGTATTCCTAGACAGTGCGAGGCATAATCCAATTGAATGGTCGGATCAATATGTACAGGGAGATGGCACAAAGCAGGTTACTTTTCGGATATTTGAAGTGAGTGAGAAAATGAATTAGAAAGACAGCGAAAATTGCGAACAATCACAAATGCACATTTAGCCAAATATTTGTTGAAGTGATCCGGCCATCCGTGGAACCGACCCCAGTGTGGACCTGATTCCATGCAGGTTATTCCTTCGAAAGGTTTCGTCCGCACTTACATTCCCTCCCTGGTGGTGTGCCGGTGTGTCAAAGCATCATACAAGCCTCCACCTGTTTAACAATGTTTTGAGGGCTGTTCTTGTGCATACACTATGGCCGATGAAGCCTTCAGCTCGTTCCGTTATGCGGAGCCTTCAGATATGACACTTTTTTAGTATACGTCAGTGAGTCAGTGACAGTATGCCTTGTGTGGGTGTAATTTTTAGCTTGCAAGTTGTAATCCGTCACCTCAAAAGATCAGCCCTGTCGTGGATACGAATGAAATACGGAAGAATGTAAAGTATGAGGAATTAAAAAAACTTAATGATAAGTATAATCTTTTACAGATATGCTCACCACAACTTGATAGAAAATATTGGAGAAAAACCACCATGATAAAGAGATTTCGAGAGTAAGAAATGTTGCACTCCGGTCAGGGTTTTGTAAAGAATAAAGAACAGTAAAGATAATCCGAATGCAATTGATAGAGTCTCTACAGTTGTGAGTGCTTTATCCCAAAAGGCGAACAATTGAAACCATCAGGATTGGAAGACTATTAGTTCATTATGTGACGAATTTCTACCTATACCATTCAACTCTCCCTACTACTCTTCTGTAATCAGTACGCAGACCAAACTGCTTATAATGTCATAAGTTAATTGGCGGCTTAAGTTTGGTACGCTCGTCACTTGGTGAGGGAGCTACCCTGTCCTCTGCACGGCAGTAACGTGTAAGTCAGTGGATAGTGAGCGGCGCTATATCACATCTAGTAACTTATTCACGTTGGTCGTTGCCGTCCCCCGTAGCTCAGTGGTCTTAACCACGGACTGGCAACAGTCGAGTTGCAGGTTCGAGCGCTACCAGGGTCCGATGGAATGCACAGTGCTGACGATTCCCGAAAGGATGAAACGCGCGTATAGTGGTTTTCCGGGCGTGTGACGGCTGTCTGAGTGAGTCTAGATGTGACAAATTTCTACCTACACCATTCAACTCCCCCTACTACTCTTGTGTAATTAGTTCATTGTTACCGGAAAATCGATCGCAAAGCAAATAACCGTTATCGCTCACCTAGTGGAGACAAGAAAAAGAAATAAAGAAAGTGCGGATGAGTACAGAAAGTTAACAAATATCAGGTCTTGGGTGCTAATGGAAATAAAACGCAGGAAAACCAATACTCATCGACAAAGGACTACGGTGCACTTATTGTTTCATATTAGATCCGCTCCTTCCTCAAACAATCTATCATTTCTGTGTGCAAATTTAAAGCCTGTTTCACTTTCGTTAGTGTCACTAAGACCGCAATCATTTTGTTGAATATGCTTAAGTTTATTGTAAGTCGTATGCAACTCGGTAGTCTATTCCATATCAGGCTGAAACTTATAAGATAAAAGCTCTGTCTGACTGTAATCCTGAGTGAAGGCACCACAACCATACATTTTGTGTCACGTATTTCATATCCGGTTCCCAGGAGCGTTGTTCACTATGCACTCTACGCCACACAAGTTTGTGTATGAAGCTAAGAGTAAAATGTAGTCTGGAATATTTCAGTCCTAAATCCCTGACAGAAAAACAGACTGGAAGGGCATCACCGTGAAGTAGAAACAATAAGTATGGACACAGTAGTGTTTGCTAGTGATCTGAACGCACAAGTTTACAAACGGCCTACTGATAAGCTGCATCTAGGCGGTCAACACAGTGCAGGGCCCCGTAACGATAAGAGTGAGCGCTTGCTACACCTGTGTGAAGATGCTCTTCTATTGCTCACGAGCACTAGGTTCTCACACAGCACCCGCAGAAACGAGACATCGCGCCCAACATGTTCAGCCCAGTCACGGACACAAATCGATGACAGCGCGATCATCACTGGTCTGGTCGAAACTGTCGCTCGATTTGCAGCACCAGCGTGGACTCCGTTAACATTCTTGAGTGTGCCGAACTTCGGATATTTTTCGGTGGAAGTCTCCAACGGCGCTGTTAGCACATAGATACCAACAAACTGGCCAAGCCAGGTGTTCTTGTTAAGAGCCAGCTGAAAGCAGCTGAAGATCACTGGTCGCATATTCACCAGACGTTATTATCAGCAAGCATGTCTTCATATGGCAAATCACATTGCCAACCTGGACATTGATTCTTTACACAGTCTCTGCAACTTACGGATGCTCACTGAAGTATTCTTGCTGGAAGCTAATACGATGAGACGCGCAAAAATCTCAGGGCAAAACTGCGTGTTAACCTGAAGGGAGAACGCGAAGCCTGGTGGTCTCATGTTGCGTCAGAGGTGGAAATGGCCAGTGTCCTTGGTAGCCATCGTAAGCTATTCCGTCTGATAGGGGATAGAGACCTGGTGTTGGCAAGCTCATGCGCTACGAGAGTGGAAGCCAATCCACAGCTTGTCAAAAAGCTTGGAAGGTTTGACGGACTAACTGGAAATGCACTTTAAATGCCAGAGGTTTTAACCTTTATTTTCAAGCATTAACCACCCTTCTCCCTGGGCCGTCCGCTTAGATCCACTCCCAAGCGCAGAAGTTGAACGTGAGATCAGACTACTGAAATCGATTAAGACCCCAGGATCAGAAAGACTTCCCCCAGCCCACTACAAATTCGGGCCCTACTCTTGTGAATAATTGGTACAAGTTACTTGTGGAGTTGTTGGAGCATTTGGAACTGCTTGTTATGGTACCA